CAACACGTTGGACCGTCATTAACTAAATAATTTTTCTTAGTTATTTGCTGCAAACTGTGGAATCAACAGACTTATCAACGATGAATAAACACGGTGTTTAAACAGTTATTTAAAATATTATGCGTCCTATGAGTGTTAGGTATCATATTCCATGCATCAATCATAACACGTGTCTAAAAACATTTATGTAGCTAAAGAATTTACACTGACGTACCCTAGCCACGTATTCCACTGACTCCCGCATCAGCCTGTTACGGATTTCACCGGCGAAGTGTGGGAAAAGCATATCTCGCATGCATTTCTCCAACACTTCGTTTCGTAGACGGTTCCACTCTTGAACGTTCTTGCTGTACTCATCCTGCGACAACATATGGGTGACGATTCCGATTAAACAAGTTCACAACTTTTGCAGTACTTACGCGGTAGTACAGCTGTCTGTTTTTCAGCTCTGCCAAGTAGTCGCCGCCATGGGTTGTGGCACCGTCGACGGAGATCGTTACTTTCAACAAGCCGTTATCTTCGGCCTATAAGTTTGAAACAGCGATGCTGTTCAACTCAACAATGAGAAACACAAAACTACAGTCGTCCTACTTAAACAAACTAATTAACAGCTGAAAAGCAGCGGTGAAATAATACACTGGTTTATAACTTACTGAATGACAGTAAAACGTATGACAGCATGGTAGTAGGTACTCCACTGAAAGTGCTCAACTCCCGCTGAAGTGAAGAACAAGAAATGGAACAGTGGCCCACTTCCGTAGGAAGAGACGGTGACGCTCCTCCCTCTTTGTCAATTATATCTTTCCCTGACCAAAATTTCACAAATGCTAGACTTTTCTGAATCCGTTCAACTGGATCAACTGGATGAGGCCTTGAAGTTAAAACCTTTCCACAAGTTTAAATTTTGGTAAACTAATCTTCCTGATCAAATAGGAGAGAATAAGGAAAAGAGTCAATGCCAAACTTTGCTCAAATTGGGAAGATTCCTAGGGTACTTTCACCCTTGAAGAACAATGCCGATGGGTCTACTCACCTAGGAATACCACTATCATCAACTTAAAAGCTGCACTCGATTCAGCACACTGTACGCTGATA